AGAGGACGCCAGCTATGAGGGACATCAGACGAGGCAGTGATCCTGAAGAGGATCAAAGATCTTGGACCTACCAAGGACCCCCCTCACGCACCCCATAAGTAGCATCTTGGATTATGCGGAGGAGCGAGGACTGGTAGTAAAGGATTCGAGGGCTCCCTTAGAAGTAAATGATATCCAGAAATGTGAGAGATACTCCAGTTTCCACCGGAATAGGTCCCACTATACCCATAACTGGCACACCCTCAGGGCGACTATCGAAAAGTGATCCAACAAGGACAACTCTCCCAATTTTGTAAAGGGTCCGTCAGGCCAGACATGGAAAAACCCTAACTGGGGGGAGAAAACGCCACCAAGAAAATGGAGATCGGTAACCTCTCTGACGATGAAGGCTCCGAGGAGCAACAAGCGAGGAAACGCCATATCCACTTGATCAATGGCGAGAACACAGGAGGAGACTCGTCCACCCAACGTAAGAAGTGGGCTCAATTCCCGTACGTTGGCGAGGTGACAAGGGGTCCCTCCTCGCGAAAAAGACTCAGGACAGACCCCATCACCTTCACCGATAGAGATCTACTGATGGGACCCCCCACAGGGACACCCTTGTCATAAGATGCGAGATCAATGACCTCGTGATCCATCGCACATATGTTGACACAAGCAGCTCGGTCAACGTCATGTACTTCAACACTTTCAAAGAACTACGTCTCAACCGAGCCGACTTAAGTCCCGTGCGGACGCCACTGTCCGGCTTCACCGGGGACTCTATCGAAGCCGAAGGCACAATAGTCCTTCCCGTGGAAGTCAGAGATGGTTCCCACAAGGCCAGGGTGGACATCGAGTTCGTGGTCGTCAGCCTAGACTGTGCCCACAACCTCATCTGGGGCCGAACTGCACTGGAGGACTTAGAGACTATCATTTCTATGACGCCCTCAACGGTCAGTACACGTGTCAACACGCCGGTTGCCGTTCGGTTCAATCGACACGACCGCCCAAATCCGACCACCCAGCTCATGCCACTTGTTCCTACCTGTCTCCCCTTATGACACACCACGGCTCATCGCACGCACATGGTAGCACACCGGAAGACACCCACGGTTGAGTGTGCCCCAACAAGCAAATCACCAAACACATAAAATGGCACAAACGCCACCGGTAAGCATCTTAATCCTAAAAGGCCGATGTCAGCCCCTCGATTTTCAGCACCACGATGAGGGTCTCGGGCTAGTGACCTTCGGACAAGGATTCTCCCACAGGGTTGCCTTGTCGAGGGTTCACCAAAGAGATAAGATCATGTGCCACCTCGCATGTGGAATCTCGGCATACATGTATTGTACGGTCATCAAACATTCCTAGGTGCAGCACTAAAACACTCCTCATTCCAATATTCATCTCGGCATCAGGAGTGGGCGACTACACCTCGGCCAAAAGATGATGGAAAATCAGAACAAAAAAAGAAGGGGTATATCAAATCATACATGCAACTGGAGACGTGCAATGACGAAACACGCCCCGAAAAATATCACTTCTGACTACAAGCTCAGGAGAACAACAACAACAAAGAGCATGGGACCAATGCTAGAGCAACTGCACTCCCTTTCACTTTGGTGCTCCTCAGCTCAGAGAGTGGGGGACTCTTGATAGAGTATATGAGCTTGCACCCACGACCCACATACTCTTGGACATACGGACGGCCCAAGCTGACACCATGGACATAAGGTCCACTTTGAGAGCCCAGTCCATGATGAAGAGAGGGACTTTCTGTGTTCGCACCTCAGAGGAACTTACCTCGGTATCTCCACCAGCAAGACCGAGGTGCATTCATGCACCTCAGATCCATCACCATCAGACATCTTCATAGTATCCTTAGTAGGATAAGACACATGTAAACAGCCCATTAGGGGCCCATTATTATAATCGGGCCTCCCAGGTCCAAGGCTTGGGGTCCCAACTCACGTTCCCTCTATAAATACCCTCCTTTGGGGGTAGTTATAAACGGTTGAGAAATCATTTATTGCAAGTTCTCTCTCTCTCTATTAGCTCTTCCTTCTCTCTAGTAGTTCGGCACACTCAGGAAGCGATAAATAACAATAACATAAGAGTATAAGAAAGATAAAAGATAGAAAGATAAAAGAGCATAAAAAGCTAGAAGATAAAAATAGTATAAGAATATAAAAAGATAAAGACGATAAACGATAAAAGAAAAGAGAGACGAAATGTAGAAAAGACATCAATCATCCATACGGATGTACGCCCTCCACTTTTCTCTCTCCAAAGCCATACTCTCATCCAACCCAAGAAGGTGCATATCACTTCTGATTCATCTAATCCAAGTCTGTTTGGGTCTTCCCCTCCCTCTCCTATCTGCCTCTTCTCCCCACCCTCAAGTCATCTAAGAGGAGCATCACTCGGTCTTCTACGCACATGCCCAAACCACCGCAAACGAGACTCCTGCATCTTATCTTCTATAGGTGCTGATGCACTTTTCCATTTCATCCACCCAGCTCTGAGCCTCTGATTCTATGACATACATCTCCATCTAATTCACCATCCTTCTGAAATATAGAGCTCAAATAACGAAACATATCACACACCAGTATCTCCTCACCATCAAGAGTAATCTCACTCTTGCTACTACTTCTACCTTCACCAAACTTGCACTCCATATACTCGGTCTTGCTTAAGCTCAGTTTGAAACCCATGGTCTCCAATGTTTGTCGCCATACTTCCAACTTCGCTTTAACACCAGATTGCGTCTCATTAATCAAAATAATATCATCGGCAAACATCATGCACCATAGTATATCTTCTCGATTTGACTTCGTAAGTTCATCCATGACTAGGGTCATGAACAAAAGACTTTTTAGGATTAAAATGAAACAAGACTTATTAAGGTTTAGTTTGGTCACATATTTAATATATGGACTTCTATTTAAAAAGTACTATGTCCTTTTGATTAAATGAAATACTTGGGCCTTTTATAAGTTACTGCACAAGTGAAAATTAAAAAATAGATACACAAAGAAAAATCTCCTCAAAACGCCCCAGGGCGTGCCTCAAGGCGTACGCCTCAACATGTGAGGCATGAGCCTCTTAACGTGCAAAAAACCTAAGCCCTAATACCCAACAAACACGCCTCACCTTGAGGTGCGCCTCAAAACCCACCTCTTAAGCGCCTTTTTAAACCATGCCCTCCACTACAATCTTCCCCTTCCATTTATCATTTCGATTGGGGACGAGGGGAATTCTCGATCCGCGGTCCATCTCAGGCGTGGCTGGGATAACACTTGCAGAAACATAAGAATCGAGTCAGAACACAAGGGAACACATGGGCAGATAACACACAAACAAAGGATTTAATACCTATTTGACAACCAACATGGACAATGTGATCACATAGGCTCTAAGATTCTTGGAGCCGCCCTAGAAGACCCAAACAGCTTGCAGCTTTTGTACCTCTTGCCATTCATCGGGAGCAAGCGGGTTGTTGGTGAACAACACCCGACCAAGACAAGTAGTGACCCGAAGGCAGCCATCTCTCCAAAAGGGAACCACCCAGTAGAAGTGCAGGAAAAGATCAACAGAAATATAACACCCAATATAAAGAGTATACATACTAGTTACTAAAAATAAAGTTGATTTCACATTTTTCTGGATTTTATGGACTCATTTTTAATATAACACCCTCATCAACATCAGAAAGTTCAAATACAAGTGTATCTAATAGTGCTTCTCAATGTGCTGCTTCGATGTATAAAAAGTATTTTGGAGAAACTTCCTTGTGCTTCTTACAAAAGAAGAAAATATTGTTATTATCATTCTAATCATCAAAGTAATGAAAACTCACACAAGAACAACCATTAACTACTTTATCATGACTTTGATAGCGTAATATATTAGATTTGGAACAATTATCGTGTGCTTTATTACAAATTTTGGCTACCTAATATACTTTAGGGAAAAGTACGGAAAAAGTACTTGTGTTTGAGCCCGTTTTCGAATAGGGTCATGTGTTTCATTCTTTATCAAAGTGGTTCATGTGTTTGAATTCCGTTATCACAAGAGAGTCACGCCGTTAAAAACATCTGAAAAAGACCGTTAAAAGTAACTCCGATTTTCAAAAGTGTCTGAAAAATTAAAAGAAAAATACCAGAAGGTGTGCCTCAAAAGATGACCGCTAGACCATCTTAGGTCAACATAATTTTTATTAGTAAAAAATACATAAATAATCCTAACTATTAGTGATTTGCTTGAAATAATTCAAAGTATCAATTATCTCAAAACAATCTCAACTATAGAGAAAAATATCAAAATACCTCAAGGACAATAAATAATACGTAGATGACTTATAATATTTGGAATACTTTGAGATTTTTTTCAATAGTTGGATTGTTTTGAGATATTTTGTATTTTGAATTATTTCAAACAAATCAGAAATAGTTTTGTGATTATTCTTGTTCATTTTTTTATACTCCCTCCGTTTTTTAAACAAGTTCTCACTTTCCTTTTTGGGTAGTTCCCAAATTAAGTTATCCTTTCTTTATTTGGAAAATTAACTACATCAAAACAGTGCCAAACAGTGTCAAACAATGTCCAAACAGTGCCTCAACAGTGTCAAAACAGTAAAATTTACCCTCATTAATTTTTTTGCTTAAAAACTGTGAAAAACAATGAGGAACTGCGAAACGGAGGAGGGAGTATTAAAACTTAGACTTACTTTATTAAACTAAAGTTACTTTTTTCCCCAATGCAGTAGGATTATTTAAATTCATTTTAGTCAACACAAGGAGAGCATTAATATCTGATAATCCAAATTCAATTTTGTGTTTTTTTGGACAAAAAAAATAGTAATTCGAGAGGCATGGAATGTCAATTTGGTAAAATGAACTCCCATCAGGGGGAGAAAGAGACACATGCATGATGTGCACCTCGACGGTCAAGATTCCTTTCCGCTCTCACAAGTTACACCCACCGTCAGATATCATTTCCCTAAACCCCCTTGACTAAGACGTCTCGTAACCACCACCACCACCACCACCGTGAACGCTCAGAGAGAGACTCCTTTTCTTTTCTGTCCTTTCTTCGTCACTTTTCCAGTCACTTGTCTCTCTGAGCATGCTGAGATCAGAGAGAGTGAGTGAGTGAAGAGACTTTAATTTATGTGTCTGAGAAGTGTTAAATACGGATCGCCCTCCTCTCATAATTGTGCACCTTTCTTTCCTTTCCTGTATATATTGATGTTATTTTTGTTTTATCTTTGAATACGGGTAGCTTTTGTTGGTTTCTTTAATCAGATCTGTGATTCCCCTCCGTTTTGTAATCATCACCCACTTTGTTATTTTCCGGGTTCTGATGATGGTGGTGATGATGATCTCTTCTCAACTAGTCTTTCCCCCTTTAGAAATTGAAATCTTATCACAAAAAGTTAATTCTTTTCTCTCTCTTCCTCTCAATGTTACTGTAGAGTAGTTCAAGTTCCAGATCTTTGTGTTTCTTGATCTGCTGTTTTGTTTCCACTCTCCGGCTCAGATCTAGCTGGGTTTACTATATATTTGTCGTAGTTAAGAGCTGAGGATTTGGGGGAAAGTGTTCGATGTGTTTGTATGATAATCAGTGTATGATGATTTACTTTCCGGACGAAGTGCTGGAGCTCATTTTCGATTTCCTGACGTCGCATAAAGACAGGAATGCGGTTTCCATGGTGTGCCGGTCTTGGTACATGCTGGAGAAGCTTAGCAGGGAGAAGGTGTTCGTAGGGAATTGCTATGCTATCAGTCCGGAGAGGGTGATATCCAGGTTTTCTAGGATGAGGTCTCTAACCCTAAAGGGAAAGCCCCATTTTGCTGACTTCGGGTTGGTTCCGCATGAGTGGGGTGGCTATGTTTACCCATGGATTGAAGCTCTCTCGGATGCATCTGTGAATCTGGAAGAGCTTCGGTTGAAGAGAATGGTGGTTTCTGATGATGCCCTTGACTTCCTTTCCAGATCATTCCCCAATTTTAAGTCTTTGGTCCTGGTTAGCTGTGAAGGTTTCACTACAGATGGTCTTGCTGCTATTGCCTCCAATTGCAGGTAGTGTGCCTGTTATGGTCGCTCTCGGCTTGATTGGTGGAAAACTAATTCCAATCAAGTGGAGGGTCTTACTGTTTTAGAACAGGAGTAGTGTCCATACCATTCATTTTGCGTTTTCAAGCATCGTTCTAGCCCTTTATTTTGTTTGGCCTGTTTATATTGGAAATGCTTCTTTATATGGCTCCTTTAAAAAATAACTTTTCAAGTAGCTCTTTATTTATGTCAAAAGAAGATGAGTCATGTAGGTAGCAGAAAGAGTTACACACAGGTTGAAAATGATAAATTTGGTTTAAAGAATATTTCTTTCCTTTTTAAAGAATTGTAGTCTTATAGTCTTATGTAGTGTTCCAAGCATTTAAGGGGGTGTTTGGAACTTATTTTGCTTCTGCTTCTGCTTCTTTTTTAAAGCAGAATCAGAATCAGAATAAGTTTTAAGATGATGGTCCCCCCCAGCTTCTAAAAAAACTGCTCGTAAGAGTAAATTAGAGCACCGGAAGTACTTCTGCACTTTCACCGAAACACTCCAACTTCTGCTTCTCAAGGAGCAGAAGTAGTTTTAAGAATCAGATTCAAACACCCCCTTATTGCACCAACAATCTTTTTGGTGGTTCAGTTGCAGAAACCTCTTAAGGTGCTTCTTATGTGAGCTACCTTCAGTCAGGTTAAATATCATGTCATTAAGCTTGATGATGAGCCTTGCATACTGAGTGATGTATTGGCATTTGATTTCCAGGTATCTGAGAGAATTGGACTTGCAGGAAAATGATGTTGAAGATCATAGAGGGCAGTGGCTTAGTTGTTTCCCAGAGAGCTCTACATCGCTTGTCTCTTTAAACTTTGCATGCTTAAAAGGGGAAGTTAATCTGGCAGCACTTGAGAGACTAGTGGGTAGGTGTAAGAACCTCAGAAGTTTAAGGGTAAACCGTGCGGTGCCTCTTGATGCTCTTCAGAGTATTCTATTACAGTCCCCTCAGTTGACAGACTTAGGGACTGGGTCTTTTGTTTGTGACCCGAACACAGAGACGTACAAGAAACTGAAAATTGCTTTGAAGCGCTCCTCAATAAAGAGTTTGTCTGGTTTTTTGGAGGTTTCTTCTTTCTGCTTACCTTCCGTTTACCCTATGTGCGCAAATTTGACATCTTTGAACTTGAGCTATGCTCCAGGAATTTACTGTATTGAGCTTATGAAGCTGGTTCAACATTGTAGGAAACTGCAGCGATTATGGGTATGCTTCATATTCATCCCCTTTTAATCAAAGAATTGCTTCTACTCCTAAAACACAGATAATACCTTATCAAGTCCCTCGATCATACACTTGATTTGGCCATCAACTACTTATGGACTAAACTTGGTTCTATGTTATAAAATTTGGACCCATTTAGTCAGCACACATATTTGGTTGCTGATGATAAGGGTATTTTTGTCATTTATTTGAAATTGCCCAAATTTAGGACTGAATTTTGGTCCTGAAATATCAGGTTTTGACCAAATTTAGTCATCTGTTTGTGAATTATAGTTCTTCATTATAGGAAAAACATGTACAAGAGACTAAGGGAGTGTTTGCAAAAACTTAGAAAGTGTTTTTCAGCTTTTGCTATTAAAAAGATAAAAATGGTGTTTTCAAGTAAATTATTTTCTTCAGAGTTAAATGGGAGTGATGATGCTTTGAACTGCTTTTCACTTTTTTCTATTATACAAAAAATATTTTATTTTACCGAAATATTTTTTTCTCAAACACTGTCAACATTTACCATCAATCACTTTCTCAAAAATCACTTCAAAGTATCAGCTTTTAAAGTAAAAGCAATCGCAAACACTTCCTAAATTGAGTATAAGTTGCACAATCAAGGACCAAATTGAGCAATAGTGAGTGGTCGAGGGATTACATTGGGTATTGTTAACTCTCTAAAGTAAGAACTATCTGCTTGAACAAATATTTATCTGAACTGCACAAAAATGATTTTATAGGTTCTGGACACCATTGGAGACAGAGGACTTGTTGTTGTAGCCTCGAATTGCAAAGAACTACAAGAATTAAGGGTATTCCCATCCCAGGAAATCCAGGTGGGCTACAACAGTGTAACAGAGGAAGGTTTGGTTGCGATATCTGCCGGCTGTCCCAAACTCAGCTCTTTGCTCTACTTCTGCTGGCAGATGACAAACGCGGCATTGGTAGCGGTTGCCAAGAACTGCCCAAACTTCACCCGCTTCAGGCTATGCACCCTGAACCCGATGGTACCCGACGCGGTTACGAAGAAGCCTTTCGACGAAGGTTTTGGGGCGATTGTAAAGTCCTGCAGAGAGCTTAAACGGTTATCGGTCTCCGGACTTCTGACCGATCAGGTTTTCCTGTACATAGGGATGTATGCGGAACAGCTGGAGATGCTGTCTGTTGCCTTTGCAGGTAAGAGTGATAAGGGGATGCTGTATGTTCTAAACGGATGCAAGAAGCTGAAGAAGCTTGAGATCAGGGACTGCCCGTTTGGTGACAATGCGCTTCTGGCAGACGTGGGGAAGTATGAAACAATGCGATCCCTCTGGATGTCGTCCTGTGAGGTGACCCTTGGGGCTTGCAAGGTTCTGGCCAAGAAGATGCCAAGACTAAATGTGGAAATCATCAATGGGGCTGAGGATGAGATGGTAGAGGGTGATGATGATGAGAGAAAGAAAGTGGAGAAGATGTATTTGTATCGGACGTTGGCTGGGAAGAGGAAAGACGCACCAGGGTTTGTGTGGACAATGTAGTTGTAGTTTTAGAAGATGAGCACCTTCGTCTTCTTTGCCATTTGGCCTTTGTAGTTTTAGATGAAGAGTGTTTTTTGAGCCAAGGATTATTCATATCTTGGTAATGAAGCAGTCTTCAATCCAATTTATAATAAAAATATATTATTGGTGTTGCTAATGTGTATCTTTCCTCAAATAGTAAAAACCTGTGCCCATCACTTATTTCGGCCTTGGGAAAAACATTGCCATGCCGGGATTAGGTTGTGGTGCTTGTTAGGTTGCGGGAGTTGTCCTATTTCCAACTATGAGGTAGTCTGTTGTGATGATAGGAATCAGGCTTATTAGACTAATAATAGAAATAATAATAATTTGTACAGTAGTATAAATAGAAGGGGAGGGGAGGATTAGGAGCAGGCTGTTATTCGGTTGGACTTTGGCTCTGGAGACTGGGCATCTCGAATAGTCCTATGCATTGCATACCATATGTACTTTCTTCTACGTCAATACTCTTCTTTGATCTCTTTCTTGATCAATTTCTTACTGATTCTCTACAATTCTAAGTCGGAATTACCAGGTTCTATCATGTGACCGGGTGGTTGTGGGTAAGGGACACCAATAGAGGTTGGTCGACCGGTTTGTGGTTTCCGGTAAAACTGGAACTGCTGATTTATGAAGCGAAAACTGCATTATATCTCTGGTTTGGAATTGTAGATTCACTAGTCCTATTCTGTTGTCCCAAAATATTGAGCAGAATCTAGATTTGAACGGTTTTGACTCTGTTTCAATTGTCCCGAAAAATTGGAAGCAGAACTGGGAACTGGATGGTTTTGATTCGGTTTCTTGATGGTTGCTGCTAACTGATGTCAATTGTTCATGAGCATGACCTATGAGGTTGGAATTAAGGGTTAAGATGGACTCTGTTCGAGAATCAAAAATATTTTTTAAATCTGGTTTTAATTCCTCTAAAATAGGTCCAGACTTGCTGGTTTCAGTACCGTGTTTTGATTTATTAACACAAAATAAACTAAAAAGTCTGGTAGATAGTGAATCAAAATCAGATCCCAGACCGGCAGTTTTAATTCATCCCAGTACCGAAAACGGCAAGCCACGCAAGAAACGATGCTCTCCTTTAACTTTTTTTCTTCTTCAAAACTAAGATGATTAGAACAATTTTGCAGATATAATTAAAATATGAAAAACTGGTAGTGCTATCGAGCCATTTTGTCTTTACATTTGCTTGTAAGTTGCAACACATAAACACTCTTAAACCATAAAGGTAACAACAATTGCAAAACTGACATTTTATTTAAACTCAATATGATAATTGACATCTTTCAGAATGTGCCCGCAACTCAACGCTAAATAGATGAATCAAATGATCTACTCCTTACATAGGCAGAGCACCTCATGCTTGCCTATATAACTCCATGTTTGCACCCTGTCTCCATCTAGTTACAAAAATAAATATATATTACATACTAACTTCTACAGGAGATTCTACATAAAAACTAGCCCCGTGTGGTAGCACTAATCGGCTAATTGTAATAAATAGCCTCCGGCTTGCTTATTTGCGTGAAAAACGATTTTACCAAAGGCTTTTCATTTTTAAGAAACTCTACTGATTCATCCATTTAAACCAAATATTCCTTACCCTAGTGGCACTTAAATTAGATTGACAGTTACAACCCAATCTTTTCTGGAACCACAGAAGGTTCGAAGTTGATCAACATCAAAAGTCCCAAACCCAGAAAGCCTAACGCCATAGGCTTCCATCCTGCGGATATCCCGTGGAAGGGGAGACTGCCATATGCCATCCCACCATGCAGGGGGGAGGATCGGGGTGTAGGCACATTGGTTTGACTGGCCCTGGCAACTCAACGGTCCTGCAAATCTGTTCCATACATGTCCCCACCCGATCTGATTCCTCAACCCATCAGAAACCAAGTTCCTTTGGAAGCTACTTAAGAAAGTGAAACTTGAGCCACCATCACGTGATTTGTTATCCTCTGAGCAAAAGAAAAAATACCCCAAGCTTAACAACAATAATAATATAAAATAACATCTGTTCCGCTGTATAAAAAGAACAACAAAAACACAGACTGAGTAAAACTGAACAACATCATGGAATTATAGTGTGAAAAGGCCACTATAGTTATTATGCAGTAAAGTCATATTTTTGTCCATGTTTTGCATATTATCCATATATTTGATATAATTTAAAAGAAACAAACCTACAGACACAGACTATGATTGACCATCTAGACTAAGCCCCGTTTGGTTTGTCGGAAGTGGAGAGGAGGGAGAGGGAAGGATATAGCTATCCTCTCCTTCTTTGGATAAAGAAAATGAGGTTGAGAAATATTTTTTATCCGAGTGAGACTAACTAACACTCTAAGGTACAAAAACATTGCTATTTTTGCCGTTTTAGCTTCCATTCATATTTCATACTCCATAGGATGGGTGTCCGCAATTTAAGGTTGAATGAATTGCGAATTCAGGAGATGAGTGGATTTAGCGATAAAAAATGCCACTATAAAACCCTAATACTACGAAACGATGACAAGTGTGTTTTTAATTGGAGAAACTGACTTTATCATCTCATCTGTAGCATTTGAGGTACTATTTACAAAACTTTGAAGATAAGTCTTAATAACTTACATAATAAGGAACAGTTAAGCTGATGCATCCTACAAAACTTCGAAGATAAGTGTATTTTGCACAATATTCGAATCGTTTCTCCCGTCAAGGCTTTGATTATAAAATGGACTAAATCCACCGCTGGACTTAAGCTAAACACTGATGCATCCTTTTTCAATGGTAATTCTAGAATCTAGAGGGGGGGGGGGGGGGGGGGGCAATTTTAAGGATCTCCCACGGCGGTGTGATCGTGGCCATCACCTTTGTTCAAGCAGCAAGCTCAGTTCTAGAAGCAGAAATCTTGGCTCTCTGCATGGCCACCAAGTGGTGCATCGACCACGGATTTTCAAATGTTGAAGTAGAATCGGACTCTCAAAGTGCAATCTCCCTCATACGTAGAAGCTCCAGTGACAACAGATGGGATTCTCACATGACTACCCTCAGGAACGCGATTATCAATCAGGAATACACATTCTCCCATATCTTTAGAGAAGCTAACGGGGCAGCCCACCTACTGGGCCACTTGAACCTTACTTGCCCAAATCATTTACTGTTTTTCATTCTCGTAACACTTTGCCTTTTTTAGTAAGACGGGCAGTTCTCGATGATTCATCAGGAATGCCTTTTATTCGGTTGTAATCACTTTATTGCGGGTATTGGCTTAATCCCCCCGCAACGCTTGTTATTCGTCCTATATCTATTCACATTTGGTAAACGTTCCCCGGCGTTTACCCCACCTATTCTGGTGGACTTTCTTCGGGTTTAAAAAAAGGAACAGTTAAGTTACAAATATATTATTTGGTACAAATTTTAAACATATGTCATACTGTTATTACATGAACAATCACTATACATCTAAAGTTCGATTTTACTTGAAATGTATATTGATTCATAAGTTAATAACAATATGCCATATGTTGAAAAGTATACCGAATAACGTCTGTAAGTGAACATACTGTAATTTTATAACTATCTGTGGCGATAAGCTAACCACTTTTTATTAAGAATTAAGATGACGGAAAAATAGTCTTTTATACTACCACCCCCTCCTAAAATAAACAAGGTAACATTAAAATCCCTCCCCAGCCCCTCCACTTGAGCCAAATGCACTGTAAGTGGTTTTAATAACAGAAATTACCAAGATGGTGAGCTGCAGCCAATGCTGCAATCAATTGAGCATACGTGGTCCCAACACGCCGGTGAGCCCCAGAAACAACAGCATGTCTTGCTCTTGAAGCAAGGAAAAAATCAACAAAAGCAACCCATCTCGGTGCTGGGCCCCAGTCCTTTTCTCTAGGGTTGATAGTATTGTAGGATTTGCCGCCTGTGTATTGGGATAAGTTTCCTTCAATAAAATGTTTGTAATCGAAGTGCAAAACCTGGCAAAACCGTAGTATTAATCCTTCAGTTCAGAAAACAGCCACATGCTTTGTTTTTATGGAACATGGGAAAGTAAAATACCTCGGCAAACTCATCTAAGTATGGAGTGATGGTTTTCACAAAAGAAGGTGTGTCTGAAACTACAACAACTCTGGGCTTTTGACTTAGTTTAAGATCATTTATGGCTTTTCTGATGCACCCCAATGCCGCCCGAACTGCTCTCACTGATCTGATTGAAAAAGACACATAAACAATAGCCAGTATATATTAATATGCTAAAGATGGTACAAACTTTATCACATTTCTATTGTAGCAGCACATGTCATACAGAAATCATCACATTTACATATATACTAACCCTACAATGAGCAGGAATATTTAAGATAATGTCCATATGCAACATTAAGCACTTTTCTGGTTCAAGCTTCAAAGTAGGGAACATGAGGAAAATGCAGGCAGTATAAAAATAGGGAGTATTATGTTTGATTCACTAAAGGAGTTAGAAATTTTTATTTTAAAAAAATCTAAAAATATTGTACTCCCTCCGGTCCTAAATAAACTTCACACTTTCCATTTTGGATAAGTCCAAAATAAACTTCACACTTCTTTTCCCTTCCTTATTTGGCAAATTATCTACATCAAAACAGTGCAAAACAGTGCCAAACAGTGTCAAACAGTGCCAAACAGTGTCACAACAGTCTACTCTACAGTAAAGTCAAATTTATTTCCTTAATTTGTGTGAAGTCAAAGTGTGAAGTTTATTTAGGACCGGGGGGAGTATTTGATATAATAAGTAAAAATATTGCATTTGTTTTTTAAAATGTGTAAAAATATACATTAAGCAACAATAATGTACACAAATTTTGGCAAAAAATAAGTCAAAAGAAATTAAGACACAAAAACTCACTCAGATTTCCTTGGGGTGGGGGTGGGGTGATGATATATGAGAAATTGGAGGATTACATGGCTTTCACATTTCCTCCCTCCCCCAACTCCTACAAATCAAACACACACAAATCCACTTTCCTCTCCTCCCCTCCCCTCCCCTCCAAAAACCTCTGGCCATACAAAGGCTAATGAATCAAGTGAACAACTCACATTTTTGAAAAATTTGAAACATTGCAACACAACTACGGAACACACTCATGTATGTATGTGTGT